CTTGCGCGGTTCAAGCCGTAATAGTTCAGAAATAGTTGTTAGAACTCAATTCAAGCTTGCTTTGCCTGGACTTAGCTTACAAATCTCAAACTGCAAGTAAATTGATTTGAAACTCAGTATAAAACCCAGAAAACCGCTAAAACGTTTTTTTTTTGTTATATTTTTACTTTAGCATATCTTGTTGTCATGTTATACAGGGTGTTCCAATAATTTATGTTTTACGTTTTCTCTATCGTCTCAAATTTTCACGTTTATATCGCATGTCGCATTACATGTTTATATATTTACAAACGTACATATAAAGGTACATTTGTATGTACGAATCACCATATGCACAATCGCAAATACAGAAACCTGCGCTGTGTGCTTTTTAAGGGGTTAGGCATAGTATGCTCAAAAAAGCTCTAACTTTGACAACTTTTTTGGAGAAAAGGAACAGGAAACTAAGTTCTCACTTTTACCCAGGATTTATTACACATGTTTTTGAGTTTATACAAAATATTTTTTATTGACTTTTTAATACAAAATAGCGGCTAGTGAGCCAATTTTTGGAAAAGCCCTTTCCAAGAGAGCATGTAAGGGTAATAGTGAGGCCAGAAACTCGTGATATCTTAAATGAAATAAGAAACTGAATAATAACCTACATAAAGCTTTCTACTAAATTATCGAATATAATATAAATATACTTTTAGCTTTACATCAATTTTGTCGCAACATGGTGGACTTTTAAAAAAATATTGAATCTTTTACAAAAAAATTAAGCGGAAATTGTTTATAAAAAATTTAAAATAATAAGAAGAAAAAACTTCAGTTTACTGTTGTAAAAAATGTTTCAATGAAGCATATGCGTCCAATATTCGGGGAGTATCGAGTAAGATTGCATTTTCGAGAAACACGCCTTTATAGCGTTACGTGTCGAAGCGGGTGAAAAAGCGGATTAGGCAGAAGACATTTTTTTTACTATCTTACCAATTGAATAATGGGCTTGGAACCCTAAGTGTACTTCCACCAACCATCGATTATATAATAATAATCGATTTTTTTTAAATTTTGGACTGACATAACCACTTAAGAATTGTTTTTACCCCCTTAGACACTCATAAAAGCTGAAAACAATATTACAAAAACAAAAAGGAGATTATTTCGTGGTACACAAACAAAAAATTTAAACATACACGTCGTTAAACACCATTAGACTCACACATAAACATAATACTGAATACGTTTCTATATTGATAAATATACAAACTGAATCGAAAGGAAACAAAATGCTACATACAAATACAAAACTTTCACTTATTTACAGTTATACACATACAATACGCTCACACACATACATACGAGTATAAAGAAAAAAAATAAAGCACTTGCACATGCTGTAAATTTCGCACCTACAAAAATTTGACGCCATGAAAAATGTCTCACACGCCACCTAATCAAACGCTATGACGTCGTTGACTGAACGTGAGTTTCATATAAAAGCAAATCAAACACGTGTGGAACACACACACATCCACATGCACTGTAAACACAAGCACAAGTACATATACAGAAATACACGTGAATATTAACTGTAATTATTAACGTGTGCGTGTGGCAAATCATTGAAGGCTTTACACACGTTAGGCAGCGTATAACGGTATTTTCACGGCGGCATTTGATTTAAGCTGCTCCGTAAGCGATTTGTTGCGAATCAAAGGAGCAAAACGTGTATGTAAAACGATTTACAAAAATATTTATTAAAATGGGCGACAATTTTTCTGTATTACTTTTTATTGTGTATGTGAAGTGGTAAGGGACAAGCAGCTGAATGTAAAATTGATGAATTTACTACGCACATAATTGAAATCTCAAGTTATATTATTTATATTCGATTATAGAATTTGATTAATAATTAAAAAAGTATATATAAAGCTAGCTAAAGGTATATGCACAGAATTACTGATATATGTTATAGAAGTCGCAAAAGCTCATCATATTTGGAGTCTTAGCATATTTCATGATCTTTAGACTCCATTAGTTTCTTCGTGAATGATGCCATTGCATTTTTATTTACAATTAGCCCAAACTTATTGTTAGCATAAATTTTTATTTTTTTTTCGGTAACTTATCCTCTGTAAAGTAAACCCTTTAATGACTAACCCAATTGTATAAAGTAGAAGCAAAACTGTAATCCAACATGCGACAAATAGGCAAAAAAATGTGCGACAATATTTAAAAACTGTTGCTTTAATATTGTCAAAAGTGAAGTTTCGATGAATATGACAGCTTAACGTGTTCACAGTTCTCTCACAAATTTCGAATTTGATATTCTATAACATCAAGTTCTGCGATCACAAATCAAATAGATAGTTGCTAACCCAATCTTTTCTGACCTTACCTAATATTACTTTACATTCTAACTTTAATTACCTTAAACTCACCTCATCTAATACAATCCAACTTTTTATAATATGTAGTAGCCCAATCAGGTTAACAGCTTAACCAAATCTGGCACAAATACAAAATTTTTGAAACTACATTTTTTCACGGATTTAAGTGTTCAAATATGTTTAGGAAAAATTACTACAAAGTATCGCAACTTGTATCCGATAGAAGCAGTACTGATTTTCTAGTCTACTATTGGTCATGTGGAAGCTCTTCTTCCTACAATTACTGTAAATGGTGTTCGAGATATTTTTCTACCTTCAGCTTCATATCAGTTAGCTGAGCTGAAATAGCTTTTAATAAGCTTGAATGTTACAAAATTTACTCTGGGTATTTATCTTCTTAATATGCCAAACGATCTCTAGTAAACATTACTAAGACGCTTGAAAGCAGCATTTTTAAAGTAGACAAACAAATCGAGTATATTGAACAAATAGATGAGAATTCAAAATAAATATTATAAATATAGAAAATAAGCTTGACTAACGAAATTGAAATAATTGAACTTGATTATGCAGGCTTTCGTAACGATACTTACGAACACTGTAGTAGCACCGCCCCCACAAATGTTTGCATATTTTATTCAGCTTTACAGCTCCTTCAAATAAAAAACTAAAAAAAAGTAGTTTCATTATTCCCGCTTATATTCGCAAACCGAATCGGCAAATATTGTTTCCATGATTTGCACAATCCTTTTATATGTTTGTGCAAAGTTCTCTCCATATGTGAATCTCCATATGTGAATTAATGTGTGTTTGGCAGCTGTTTTTTTACGACGCGAAAAAAAAATTAAAAACACGCTTGCTTGAAATTTTGTGCATTCAATGAATCTACGGCTAGAGAATCGTTGAAAATCTTACAGAATTTTCAGGAGTCTACGTTATCACAACCATAAGTATATGTATGACCCAAAGCATTCAGTGAAGATTGTGAAGTCATCGAACACTTGCCTCATACGAATCTACCAATCTAAAAACCAAAGCAAAATTCGCTAAAGCCGACCTGAACCGAGGCTTATAACAAATTTATTGAAAATTGAATTAAGCGTTGGCGTTGTATTACCTCGGGAGCCTATTTTAAAGGCCGTAATAACGATCATAATTGAAATGTGGTCACAGAAAAATTCAAAAAAAATAAGAAAGTTTATTAATTACTCCAAGAAAACTCAAAACCTTGCTGAATAGCATAGGAAAACACCAATTTTTCTCTCTTCTTTTCGTATTAATATTTTATTATATTTTTCCTGATACCAACATACCTCGCATGTCCCCCAATGTCGCTATGTCTACATTCGATGCGCCACAAAGAAGGTTCAACAATATTTACAATTTCTATTTGTCTTTTGTCGCGCCTGAAATCGATGTCATGCATTATTTACATGTCAAACATGGCAACAGGAATGTTATCTATCAATTTTATATCGAAAAGTGAATACAAATGAAAGCAAATGCAATGAAGAAGCAAGAAAATAAACAAAAAGCAAATATTACCGATGGCTTCTTAATATTTTTCTCATTTTTCATTTCACGACGCAAAACATTATTTAATAAATAAGCATAAAAAATCGCAAGCAACAACATACTGTTAGCGGAATTGTGTAAACACAGTAAGCGATATGTTGCACACACAAACATATAAGACTATTTGAATTTTTACAAAGGCACATATGCACACACTCGCATAGAAATAAGGGCATATCTGAAAGCAATCAATTTTTTATCACATGTCTGTCAACTTTAAGCATAAATATATATATATAATATATACATATATGTATATATGTGTTAGTGTGTGTATGTGATGTGTCATGCCACTCAGTGCTGCAATAAAATCAAAAACAGTTGGAGGTGTGGTAGCTGATGTGCTGTCAGTGATGGATCATTGTCAAATGAAATCACAAATCGCTGGTGCGCTTGTGGTATATTTGTATATGTGTATGTGTGAAGCTTATCGTTGCTCGCATTAAAAACACAATAATATTTGCACGCGTGTGTTTGTTGTAGTTAAGCATGCCATCGCTGTAAGCATGTAATGGAGGCATCTCAGCTATTTGTGTTATTTTTGCCACTTTTTTGTTGCGCGCAAGGAACGGTACTTAACCTCAAGGTCGATTGTTGGCACACAAGCTCACTGCGAGCGCACATTAACAACTGATAATATGATTCCGTTATAAATAATGGATTTTTTTCTAAAGCTCCATATAATTGAGCGTTCTAATGGCATTTAATTTATAATCTACGTAAGGGATATTGATTGGCGGCCAAGCAAAGAAGGTTATTTTGCGACCGCAATGTATGATTGAAATAAGCGACTGCTTTTTTTTGTTATTTCTTATTTTGATGACAATAAATTCACCAAAGCGAATGGCTAGAGGAAGTAGGAATTATATTATCAATCTTTATTTTAGAATAAGTTATAATTTTCTTGATTTATCTATACAAGTTAAATATAAAACTGTACTAGCAGTTATCGGAGCATTACCAATAAAATTTTAATCATAATAAAAAACCATATCACTTTTCAGCTAACATTATTAATAAAAACAACAATAATTCTTCATTATTTAATTCCAGCAAATTGGTCGTTATATAAGACGTGAAGAGACTGCGCTTTTTACGCCAAAATCCAGTGAGGTAAGCAAATACTTTTAGCAAATTAAATTAAATATTGCTATCAAGTACATTTGTTTGTGTTTAACTGTTGTCATAACTTACGACGAAGATATTTATTTGTGCACTTCACTAAACTTTTAATGTCTTGTGTGTAGGAAAATGTGAGTGCAATGGACTAAAATACTAACAATTTTGCTAACTTGTTCATAGATATTGAAGCCACTATTTATCTAATCTATAGATGTACATATCGTCACCTAAAATGCAAAATAATATAACTTTTCTCAATTTTAAAATGGAAACCACTCATATTGAAACAAAATCTGAATTTTTGGTTATAACGTGGTTAGATCTGATAGCAGAGGTTTCAAATTTGTTTAGATATATGTTATATAATGTAAATAATAGTAATCAATAAGCACTCGATTCGGAATTTTTAATGATTCATTGTTTTGCATTTTAGGTAACGAAATACAGGGTTTTCCAAAAAGAGTGATATAATAAAACAAAAAAATATACTACTTGTTATGGTAATACAAATTTTTTTTATTTAGTACTAAGTACAATCGATACAATTAAGTTCTGATAGTATAACATCATTCATATGGCCTCCACGACTTTTTTTGCTGCAACGAATTCGATGAACCCCATTTTCGTGCGTCTGATTTATTACTAAAGACCAATGACTTTAAATAACCTCACAAGGAGTAGTACAATGATATTAAATCACAACTTCTCAGAGGCCATTCGATGTCACAATTTCTTGAAATTATCGAATCTCCTAACTTTTCTCCAAATAATGTAGCATTGGCTTAAGCAATAGTCTATGCCAAGTTTCGTGATAATATTTTCTCAACTAAAAGCTATTGGGCAAACTTAATACTCCCTGTTTAGGTTATAAAAATATGTTTCATGGCATAGACCGAAGCATCTGATACCCCATCTTGCATATGGTTAGTTTAGGTCAGACTGGTAAATGCTTGATGCAAATTTTAACAGGTTCTGTGGCCCAGTAACGATGCCTCTTCCAGTGCGTCATTTAGTGAAGCCCCCAAAAGCCTGAAGCGTTCATTGTCAATGCGAAACTAGTACAAACGAGATGCTCTATTGATTCCCTAGTGCCTTTCTCAATCTGTCAGCCCCATTTTGCAGCGTGCGAGGCCACCAGACTGTGCCTTCTATCGATGGCCAGTAGAAACTTTGTGTATTTCTGATCTATTGCTTTACACAGCTGAAGTTTTATCGCATTTTGAATTTTCTTGCCAAGCTCCTGCCCAAATCGTCTTATAGGCAATGCATGGGTTTAACAATGTCGATCACGTTTGCTTGTTCCTGGCGACATTCACCACTGCTGCCCTGCTTCCCAAGACACTTCTAGCCGATATGCGAAAGGAAGTTATTGCCCCGATTGGCTGTTTAAGTGGATGTGAACTATGAAGCTACCAGCTGACGCTTTAGAGTCTAGCTCCGCAACTTTCACAATAGCAAAACCTTCTGTTTGAAAGATACTGCATTGGTCCGGCAGCTTAAAAATATGTCTAATGCCTAACAGCGGATCTCCGATATCTCGATCACTAGATTATGACTTTGTTCGTAGAAAAACCGGTCTTTGGTGACACCAAGACCAAGTGTCGACCAAACGCTTTAAGCCTTTCACAAAGACAAAAGCGTGTTTTTCATTTCAGCACAGAGGAAATACCCTACTCTCTTGAAAAAAAAAATTTACGAAACTATTTCTGAAATAACTTCCACTACTTTAGACAAACATATATCATAAAATTACAAGTATATTGTAATGAACTAACACTAACCATAACCCTTCAAGGAGTTATATCCATTTGTAAGTCAGTAAAAATACTTGTTTTTCGTAAATTTTTTTTTTTGGTAGAGACGTTTTTTATAATTAAAAAAAAAATAATGAATTTTCAGAGTTTACTGTATGTTGTTAATCGGCGGTATATTTTGAAAATTATTGGGTTCGCTTATTCCCATATCTGATCTCTAGTTGAGCCTCCATAAGTGTTTGGCGATGAGGCACATTTTTCTGCTTAATATTATATCAAATTCTAAAACCAAAAGAAGTGTTACTATAGATACGTATACTGGTAACAATCGAGAATCGATTTGACGAAATGGCGGCTCTCAAAAAAAAGGAATTTTTTGAGAAGAATTAGCCTTAAGAGTGGTCTATACAATCGATCTATTACTATCAAGATCTTACATCTTCAATCATAACAATATAAATTTATCTAAAAAGATCACATAAAAACTTAAGGCCCATCCGTCAGCCGTTTCGAAGATATGTTCCTCTTCAACTCTGAAAACAGCTTTTTAAGAAAATCCCGTTTAAAGTTTTAAGTTCAGTTTGAGATTGCATTAAGTTAAATAGTTTTACAAATACGCTCATATCTTCGACATTTTCTGCGGGATCAACTTCAAATTTTCGGAGAATATACCGAAATCTTTGTACATTTGATATAGTTTATATGTAAAAAGAAAAATCAAGTGGGTATAACTCCTTAAGCCATAGTTTTCCCTCACCCAAAAACCACTTTGGACTCAAAATACTTATAAGAGTTCCACATTTTTATAGTTTCTATAATTTTACATATTTTTATGTTTCTGTGAACATGTATCTTTATAGAATTGGTAAATGATACATGTGTATGTATGTATTTGTGTGCTAAGCACCCGCTGAAATGTCACTCCATCTACTAATACTGCAACACTTACGCACAACGCTGTTTCTTTTTTGTCTTTCTTTCTATGCTATCACTTTGCCTAAACACCAACTATCAACATCACGTTTAACAACAACATGTACTACAACAACAATGCACTAACAACTACACAATAACACCTATTATCCAACGCTAACTCACTCGAAACTGACAACCGCATATGGGCCTCTACTCTTTGTACACTTTATATGTGTGTGTGTGTGTGTGTTTGTATACCTGCTTTGCCTAACTAACAACACCACTACACCGCTAACAATACAAACAACCAAAAACGCAAACGAACTTCAACTGAAAATGCACGAAAATGACATAACAGCAACTACGAAAATCACAGGAGCAAATCATTGACAACCGAAACAATCGCACCAACAACAACAACAATGTTGGCAGTAACAACGGCCATGACAACAACGTCACAAAGAGCAACAACATAAATGGCAACAGCGCAAATGGCAGTTTGATAAACAACGAGAGCAGCAATGTCAACAGTTTGCCGCCTAAAAAATTCATTTCCAACAAAGCACACAATCTCAACCGCAACAATAGCGCCAACAAAAGCAACAACAACAACAAAGATGGTGTAGGCAACTCGCTACTGAAACCAGTGAAAGGACGACGACCCACGGCACTGCCGAGTGATGCACCAAACTTAGAGGAAGAAGAAGAGTATGATGATGTCGACGGGGTTGAGAAGGAGAGAGCGGCAGCAGAGCTCGATAGAATAGTGGAAGAGAAGACTGGTGCACTTAATGTCAACATAAAGCAGGCTAATGGCAATCGGAGCAACAGCAGTGACCAGGATACACCCACCACGCCGGGCTCGACGCTGGCGGTGCGCTTCTTTATTGGCCAGCATGCGCACGACGAGGATGCTGCGTCCGCGCAGTCTTTAGACGCCGGCAGTTATCGCAGTACAGAAGCGGTAACAGTGCAAAGCAGTGAGCAGCAACAAAAGCAAACAAAGAAACTGCATTTGCAAACTGCTGATGCTATAGACGGCAACAACACCACCGGCACCTTCACCACCCTAATGCAACTGTCAGCACCCAACAGCCAAGAGTGGAGCACACAAAGTAACTCCAGTCGCCTCGCTAGCGCCTGTTCCTCCCCCACGCTCTACGGACCGCAGGCGACGACACGCAAATCGAAATCAAAAAGTTGGCGCAAAGCACGAGGCAACTCACCACCTGCGGAAGACCTGCACATACCACCGCCGCCACCCTTGCCACCGCAGCCGCTCACTACCGCCTCGTCGTCCGCTTCTTTGCTTTCATTGCGCAGCAACAAAATCAAGCGCAACTCTGCGGTCGCCACGCCCACCACAGCGACGCCGCATATCGAAGAGGGTGGCATCAGCGCCAACGCGGAGTTTGCCAGGCCGCCCAGCTACGATGTGCGGTACGATGGTACAGGCTCGTTGACGACGGCAGCAACAACAGCGGCGAGTGATGCAACAAATGACAAAGTAAGCAGACACTATTTGTGTAAGCGCCAATGGGGGCACATGCACCTCTATTAGAGTAGTAGTTGTAGTTAAAACCTCGTGGGCCTTTAGTGCACTTCCACCCATTTTAGTGTAGTTGTTGCCATTTAGCGCATTTAATTGACATGCTACTGAGAAGTAGATAAATATGTTCAACAATTTGTGGCAACTTTCAAAATTCCTCAGTAAATCTATTACGGCGACACTCACGCAGAGTTGGATGTGGTTAACAAAGCTTTTATGCTAACATTGAAAATCAACAGAGCTTGCCACAAATGAGTTTCGTAAAGTGTCTATTGTAGCTCGCGTCGTGCTAGAATTGTTGACGTAGGTTTTGTGGCGTGTTTAGAAGCAGCGCTTTGTGCTTTTATGCGCATGAAAGCTCTGAGAAAAACTTTGAGCTTACATATGTGGTTAGTTCGGAATTGTTTTTCACGCTTATAGGCCGCGCCATGTAAGCTAACGTTGTATGTGGTTAGTTTGGAAACGTTTTGGGCGCTTATAAGCAGCCCTTTCCGCTTCAAAGATTTCAGGTATATTTGCAGCTAACATATGTGGTTAGTTCTGAATGGTTTTGCCTGGAAAATATATCCAATAAGGTTGCTGTCAAATTCATTCGTATTTGGTTCAGGCTCACTAGATATACAATTACTCCAATCACAAACAAGTTACACAAAATACACTCTCAGCATCCCACACTCTCCCACAAATTTTTTTCACTCACATTGTCCTCTCATTATGCACCTGTTGTTAGTTAGCAAATATATTTTTGTCCGAATTTTATTATGTTATAGTTGTCCGTGTCTCAGCTCAAAAACCTAACAAGTACTTATCAAAATTTTATCTTTATATATTTCATGCCTTCAGTTCAGCACTGAACGTCAGTTCTACACTCTCAGTGAAATACTTAATCTCAGCGATAATTCAACTATAACAGTGAATAGTGAACTGGGTCGTGATTCAGGTGTACTCGTAGAGGTAATCCCAAACAAACACATTACAAATAAACATATTAGACTGCTTTTTTTTTTTTTGAACTATTTTTTTTTCGATCCCATGGTGAAATTTTGTTGGAAATACCATAAAAAAAAATTCCCTAAAAATTTGGGACTTTAATTTTAATATTAAGTACTAGACTTAGGCCTGTAAAGATTTCCCATATAAAATACACGTAAAACTTGATTTTTTTCTTTTTAATTTTATAACTCAGCGGCAGTTGATGGGATTATCTCACCCGTCATTAGGTATTCCTCAGAATTGAACGCTCTACAAAAGTCTCCATTGCGGTAAAGTTATAGCTTGCACCTGCGGGGTAGTACGGGCCCCCAAACCTAATTTTTCCATGAAATTCGCGTTTTTTTGGAATTATCTCGTAAACAACACTAGATACAGAAAAATTGTTAATAAAATTTAATTTCCTACAAAAAAGTATTTGGCACCAAATCGATAATATTAATACTCTTTGAGATACAGAGATTTTAAGAACTAACTTGAAGTTCAAAACTCGAAAAATGGTATCGTATTCTAAGGTAAAAGCTTTCTGTAATACCAGATCAAAGTTACCATAAAACAGTCTCAAAGCTTAAAAGATCTGTTTACTCTAAAGGAGGATACTTTCCATCTTTCTGAAAGTCTTGGCGAGCATTACGACTGTCTCAACAGAAATTTATTCTCCAAGTTTATCAAAAAAAGCAACTTTCAGCTCTTATCTGCAAATATGTATTTTTAGAACTTTCACCAGAACTTTTTTGAGAACACAATTGATACATTTCGCATTATACAAAATGAGACCTTTAAAAAGCTCACCGAAACAAAAATAATATTTTTCGGTTGAAAATCAAGGTTAACAAATGTAGATTATGCTAGGTACAAATTACATAATATTTAAGCGTCTGCTCTGCCCCATTTCGTTTACAGCAATTAAGTTTACGAAATTCGACTGTTTATAGCTCAATTCCCAAAAGTACACTGCTGTCAGACCTTCGATTTATTGCTCGATTGTGCCCCTATTTATTATCTCAATTTCGCAATACACATTTATTTTAACAACCTCTATATATTTATTACCTTTTCACACATACGCACATATACACTCATACACACGCGCACGAATAACGAAAAGGATCAAATGCCAACACCAAAGGAAAGTGATAACAGCGACACACCACAGGTCCATCGCGTCGAAGGCGGTCTGATATTCACGCGTCCTAATTTACCCGCCAAGAAGGACGTGCACATCGAGTTCATTGAAAAGGATAATGAGTAAGCGAAATCTCTAAAAATTTATTACCACACACATATACTTAAGCAAACCAATAACATACATGTACACACACACATATATCCTCACTTTACACATATTTACACAATGGCTTATCCCTCGCTTGGCATGCAGAACACGCAATCTCATACGCAAGGCCATCGAACGCAATGACTTCCTCAACAACTATATGGACAAGGAGCGCAAGGAGATGGTCATCGATGCGATGGCGCCAACATTCTACAAAAAAGACTCTTATATTATACACGAAAATGATGAGGGTTCGGAAATTTATGTCTCCGAAACGGGTTACTTTGATGTGATCAAGGGTGGCAAGGTGGTGGGTAGTTTTGGGCCGACAACACTTTTCGGTGAATTGGCCATACTTTATAATGCTAATCGTTTGGCATCGGTTCGAGGTAAGTGCAGTTTACAAATTAAATGGTGCTAATGTGACAAAGGCGTGCCTAATGAGACGCACATAATGTCTTCTTCTCTTCGTAGCGACGACAAATGCGCGCGTGTGGAAAATCACACGTGAGACATTCCGTCAGATTATGGTGCTCTCCGAGTCAAAGGAAAGAGATGAGAATTTAACATTTTTACGTGCGGCGCCATTTCTTAACGATCTGTCTGATGATGTGCTCAACAAAGTAGTGGATCTGCTGCAGCGAGTGAGTAGAAAGTACAGAGTATACTCGTAGATACAAAACTTGACTTTGCTTTGACGTACAGAAATACTACGAACCCAATGCTTGCATTGTGCGCGAGGGCGAAGTGGGAAATGAGTTTTTCATTATACGTGGCGGTACAGTGACCATCAAAAAGAAAAATGAGCATAATGTGGAACGTGTGGTGGATCGACGGAAGCGTGGTGATTATTTCGGTGAACAAGCGCTGCTTAACGCGGACCGACGACAAGCCAGCGTATATGCCGATGCGCCAGGCACTGAAGTGCTCAAATTAGACAGAGAGTAAGTGAGCTTTCACTCGAGCTTTTGGTTTAGAGCTTTCATCACTTACATTTTATTCAAAGCTTTTTTACAATTTCACTTGAACTTTCGGTTAGAGCTTTCACCACATACATTTCTATTCTAAGAGCTTTCGAGGTTACTTAATTTCATTTCTTATACATGTTCTGACATAGTTCTTCCTTAGTAAAGCTAGCGCATATTTGTTACTTTAAGCTTTAACTTTACATTTAAGAAATTTTCGCTTATCTTAATAAGCTTTCACCAGCTTACATAACAGCTTCTAAAAATTTTCACTTGGTTTTCAAAAGAAGTACTAAAATATGTATTCGTTCAATCAACAGAGCTTTCATCAGTTATCTCGGCACCATACCGCAGCTGCGCGAGAAGCCCGAAGAACGTAAATCAGCTGAACGCAAGCAAAGCACGCGACAATCCGAATTTGACAACGAGTATGCACATGTACAGCTAACTGATCTGAAAAAAGTAGCAACATTGGGTGCTGGTGCTTTCGGCTGTGTGGATTTGGTGTCGTACAATGATAAAACCTTTGCATTGAAAATCATCAAAAAAATCGACGTCATCAAACAGGATCAGGTAGAGCATGTGTACAGTGAAAAACATGTAATGATGAAGTGTCGTAGCTCACCGTTCATAATAGAGTAAGTCGTATGCTAAAGTTTCACGCACTTTGAACTTTCAATTCGTCTTTCTTTTTAGGTTATATAAGACTTTCCGCAATGAAAAATTCGTTTACTTCCTAATGGAAGCTTGCATGGGTGGCGATGTTTGGACGGTTATGTCGCAGCGCCGCTTCTTCGATGAGCGCACCGCCAAATTCCTCGCCGGCTGTGTAGTAGAAGCTTTCGACTTTCTGCACTCACACAATATTATTTATAGGGACTTGAAGCCGGAGAATTTAATGTTAACGACGGATGGGTATTGTAAGTTGGTGAGTTATAGAATACTTAGGTATTGAAAAACTAGTATACAAAGAACTTATTTTCGAATACACTTCAAAGGTCGATTTTGGCTTCGCCAAGCACATACCGCCCAATCAAAAAACGAACACCTTTGCCGGCACACCCGAGTACGTCGCGCCTGAGATCATTTTGGATCGGGGACATGATCGCGCCGTGGACTACTGGGCGCTGGGCATACTGATATTCGAATTGCTTGTGGGTAAAACACCATTTCGTGGACAAAATCAAATAAAAATTTACCAGCAGATATTGGGCGGCATTGACGTTATACAAATGCCCTCGAAAATACCGCGTTCAGCTCAGGGTCTCATCAAACATTTATGTAAACAATTGCCGGCAGAGCGGCTGGGTTATCAGCGACGCGGCATTTTAGATATTAAGCGGCATAGGTAAGTGTTGAGAGCAGGGAAAACAAGAGAACGGTGTACAAAAATATTTCCACTTGCAGTTGGTTTGACAATTTGGACTGGAATAAGTTGAAATATAAGCAACTGCCGTCACCGATAAAGCGACCCATAACATGCAACACTGATTTGCAGTACTTTGGACCAGCTGGTGTGGAAAATGACTACGATCCGCCTGATGAAACGAGTGGTTGGGATATTGATTTTTAAAGTCGCAAGCAATCATAATATTTTTACTAAAAAGCAATTTATATATTACGCAATTACAGTTAGAACTAAATTATGTAAAAATTTTTTTAGAAGCGAACTTTTATTATATTAATAATTAATTATATTATATATATTAGAATGTAAGCGACTTTTTTGGCAAAACTTCTTTATATTTTTGTGCATATTTTCGCAGAACCATAAAATCTATGCCAAATTAGTTAGATAGTTTATGAAAATTGAGATAAAAACATTTAATTATTTTATTATAGTTTAAGCGGATAAAAAAAATACTTGCCCAGTACAGAAAATTGTCGATTACACCGTAGAAATAACGATAGTTTATTGCAAATAAAATTGATATTAGAAAATCTTATATACCAAAGACCTGAGTTCTTGTTGTTCAAATTCGATGGTGAAGTTATAAGTACTTAGCATCAACATCCGATGGCAACTTCATCATCATCAGCGTTGGCTATCTTAGGAAAATTCACTATCGTGTAATACATTTACAAAAGAAAACTTTCTAATAAGTATTGTTTCGACCAGGGATAATGGGATGCCCAACACTTTCCAGCGTGAGAGCACCTCAAAATTAGCGTTCTTTATAACATTTTCCATTGTAGCCAAATCGGACAAAATAATAATTTTTGGGAATTTAAGTTAAAATACCCAACATTTATTAATATTAAATATTATATATGTATATGTACCAGTTAAACATGTGCAGAAACTATTTAAACCCTTTTTGTGATTTTGTAATATATTAAAACTATTAATTTTTGAGCTTTCAATACTTTGTCAAAAGAATTAATGTATTAGCTCTCAACAATTTAAAAAAAAATTATAATTTTTAGTTGAAAATAATATTTCTAAGCATGGCATCACAAAATATTTCATCACATACATTTCTATTTCGTTTTTCTTCCATTTTCTTTGTTTTCTAATTTTTGTTAGTGATCTTCAACAGCAGCAACAAATCTCTCTATTTACATATTTTTCTGTAGGATTTCAATCTGGCCATCCCGCTTTTTGCAATTGCTAAAGGTCAGACCTCCAGCACATTGACAGTTGCTTGAGTTCAGGAGGTTCTGACGTTCAGCAATAGCGCTCTCATTTCCAGTGAGAGATGATTTCCAGGCTTCGCATTATCTCTGGTTTCGACTGCGTGTGGAAGCGATTATGTATGCTGGATTTAAAAATATATATGTTGGTCAGTAATTTGATTTTTATAGTTGAAAATAAAATAGCAATAGGATGATGGCTATAATAGAAGATTACTTGACATACGCTTATGATATCGGATTGGCAGAACGCTCTTTTAAGGGAAAGAGTGAACTTCACCCGGCTTCCAAGAATGCGATGACTGTCATATCAACATCACAGCTGTGAGTTACCGTTTTAAAAGATTGAGAAGGTATGCCGATGCAACAGCAGTCGGATTCCCACGACAATCGGGTCTACGTAACCGGAACGGACGCGGATTTTTATCCGGCCAAGGACTGTCAACGCGGCAAAATTCTGCCGTTACAGCAACAACAACACACCACAGTCAACTTGGTCGAATTAAGCTGCGAATTCATCACTCCTCAAGATTTTAATGAAATGAGGAAGAAGCCATCAGAAAAGGTAGAATTAAGCTACGAAGAAACGGAGCTCTATTTAGCAGACCTCCAGAAAATGTATTTTTCAGATAATTTGAGGATGTTCGAATGAACATATATTTCTCCGAAAGTTTGATGCTAATCCAGCAAATAGTTTCGGAGAAAGCATATTTCAAAGAATTTTTCGAATTAGAGTAATACAAGTAGGCGAACAAAACTTTCACAGTTGGTGAGGAAAATTTCTCCAAAACGACTAAAGCGATCGACCTGAAATTTTCACACGATTTTCCAGATAATGATCGAAGGAATGAGACTTTTGATATTTTTCAGTTTTCTCAACCACTCTGATGTGTATATTTTTTCACAAAAAACGACTTTTTTCGCGCAGCCGCTATTTCGTCAAAAATCAAAATTTTGAGGATTCCTATGTTCATTGCCCGCATTCATCTATTTTAATAACAATTTTATTTGGTGTTTGGAGTTGAGATAATTTTAAGAAGAAAAATCTTGTTCACCGCCAGACCACTTTTTTCAGAGGTCCTTCTGAAGATCGGCTACGGAATCAAGGGAATCCAAAATTTTCAAAATGAATCACTGATTATTAGTTATAGTACATTAAATTCTGTACATTTAACGTTTTTAAATTAATTTTTTAAATAAAGTGCCTTTTAATAAAAATTCACGAAAAAGCGCGTTTTTTCTGACTCGCAAGTGGTTATGTCCTTTTAATTGCCAGACAATGCCAAAAGCATGCAACTTTTTGCAGCCAACCAAATCACGCTTTTGAAGCTAATAATCTAATGCACCTATTAGCCCCAGTAAATAACACTATTAATACAATAATCAGCTAACAATGTACGCCGCTTACATAATAAAGACAACAGCAAAAGTCGCATACAAAGCGAGGCATAATGCCTTTGAACAATATGCATTATGTACATATGTATATGTGTGCATATATAGAAAGCGACTAAGGTCCTTGCTTTCAACTTCAACTACTATGCAACTATTAACGCTAATATTGTAGCATACGCGCTTTGTGTACGAACACGCATGCAGTGAAAATCATATTATTATGCAATGCAAAGTAAAGCGGCAGGCATGCAAAAGCGCAGCGACAAGTCACGTGTTATGTGCAACAATTATGCCGTCAGCAACAGTTGTAGCGAGATGAAAAACCAACAAGAGCAAAAACTTGTAGCGAAGCGGTACAACAATAGAATCATTGCTGTGCATGCGAGTGGCGCGCAAGCGTGTAGAACAATACGAAACAAGTTTTTATATTTGTAAATAGGCATTTTTATGCTTATTAACATACACATACGCACAAGAATTTAAATGCAACTGTGGCTGAACTTTTTGTTTCCAATGTCACTGCAATGTGTTGCCACCGACGTCGATGTTGCAACAAACAAGCGATCATAATAATAATAATCAGTAACAAAAGCCATAGCAATATGTATATATAAGTAAGAATAAGTTCAAATATGAGTGTATGTGTATGTGTCCGTGTATTTGACTACATATGTATATATATATATATGTTGTTGATACGAGTTTATTTATATGTGGCTTGAAACTATATTGAGAATACAGTGAGTATCCGCAGTGGTGAACCCCGCATACTTTATCGAGGCGATTTTTTCGCAGGAAAATATTCACTGGAATTGTTTCGAAAGCCTTTAATTTGTAAGACATTGCCTGAACAGTGTATATTAAGTTAGCACCCAGTAGTAAATGTCGGATAGCCTAGAATGTGTATATATAAATAAGCAGCGTGACGAGCTCAGTCTGTTTAGCCATGGTCGTCTGTATATATAGACGTGAACCTGTCCCTCAATTTTTAAGATATCGATCTAAAATTTTGCATTTAATCTTTTCTGTTCAAAAAGCTGCCAATTTGTCGGTACTGCCGTTATCAGACTACTATAGCACATGTATTGTACATAGCTGTCATACAAACTAACCGATACAAACCAGGTTTTTGTATGGAAAACTTTTTTATTTGACAAGATATTTTTGCAAAATTTACGATGTAGTATTGTCCAAGAGAATGCTAAAATATATAGAGAAACTGGCCAAATCGGATGACGAAATCATATAGCTGCCATATAAAGTGACTGATGAAAATCAAGGTAAAGATATTTTTATACCCATTCATGCTATAAGAAATGCACCTATGAAAGGTATTATAGCTTCCGTTGTTAGTTTATTTACTCAACAGGCCTTTGAGTCAATATCAAGTTTGCCAAAAACTTTGTTTTCTCTTAAATAATATTTGATATCGGTCTCCTTCTCCCTTAGCAGCCAAGATATTAAAATTATAAAATTATTCCTACTTTTGTTCACTTCAAATTTTTAAATACGACCGTAAATGAAATTTTAAACTTTAAACAACCTTGTACTCATTTACCAAACCGGAAGCGGAAATTCAACAAACCATTGATTTTCCGTTTAAGTACCTCTGCTGGCATTTAATTATGCTGTCGCGTAAGTTTGGCACAATTGCATAAGGAAATATATGGTTCTACAGGGAAGGGAAATTACAAAAGCGAAAACAACAAAAAATCTGAAAAATAAATTTACATTCTGTACATATGTGTACATAATTATGCAGTATATGCGCATATGTAACATTTTTAATAACACAAAGCGAACTTTTCCAGCTGTGAAGTGGCTGTGAACTACTGAGCAATCAACGAAAAATAAAAATGAGCAGCAAAAATAATTTTGCATATTACGCAAAGTGCTCTACTTTGTGACTGGCATTGAACTCGCATGCATGTACAGTATATATGTATTATAGTATATAAATATAAGTCATTGTATTTAAAATTTTGTTAGTATATGGCAAAGAGTTTTTATGTCGTATATTTACCTCATAGGTACTCAAAATGCAACCCTGATAACAAATAACACCCGTTAACAAATTGCTATCAGATATACGGTAAAGCACAAAACTGGTCACCAATATATGCAATTTGAGTTCGCAAATAGATTGTTGGACAGTTTCGACGTCATATTCATAAACCCTCGTTTTGTCAGCAGAAATTATGTGTTTAATGAATACAGGGTCCTCAGCTATGTTGTCACACTTATCATATATTCAGACATTTTTCTACGAGTGTAGCATTGATGGCTTGTTGAGTCCATCTATAAGATATGTTGAAATCCTCTGTTATCTCTCTGTTGTCAACACGATGATTTCAAACACTGTTTCTTTAATTTTTTCCATATTATTGTCATCTCAACCGAGGTGAACGGACGACTCGAATGAGGCCGGTTTTCGGTGACGACCTTCACTGAATGCCTTGAGCCACTCAAATACATCAAATTTATTTATGTTTGTGATAAAGTAAACTCCCCAGTCACAGTTACTGGACATTACCGGAGCACTCAATAATGTTCCTACGAAAGCTATTCTGAATAGTATCGAGTCTATAGTTATTAATCCTGAATGGAACAAGGCTAGATTGACGAAGGAAGTCTGCAGAGGTACTCCGCAGGGTGCAGTGCTATCTCCGCTCCTATGAACATTACTGGTTAATAAGCTGTTAAGAAACTTAGAGGGCAAAGCCCCCCAAATTAGTGGTATATGCAGATGACATTAAACTTTTACTGGATGAAATTTGTGGTAGTTGCTTGGGAGAAAACATTGTAGTATTTGCTTAACACTTTCTTTTTGACTGACCCGCCTTTGACAGATCAAGGTCAAAGCATCTAAGGTTTCACACTTTCATATACTCAGGGGAAATATAACGGCTAAACACATTTGTTATGG